GACCGATTTATTCAACATAAGAACTGCCATTTACTGGGTCACACCATAGGCTCATCTTGGCCACTATCCTGTGTATCACAGTGGCAGGGTAGATGCTGAAAGGGAGAGTGAACAGGATATAACCAGGGTTTTCTTCCACTGCTCTTCTCTCACTTGCAGCCTCCAGCATTTAAGCTCTAGGAAGTTCCGATTCATAACTAACTCCCATGCTTAATAGCTACTGATGTGCCTTTCCTTCAAGAGTTTGTCCAATCCCTTTTGGAATTTAGCTAAATCGTCAGCTTCTTTAACTTTTTTTTGGCAATGAATTCCACATTTGAATTATATGCTGTGTGAAAAAATAACTTCTGTTTGTTGGTTTAAACTAAGTACCTACTAATTTCATTCTTATGATCTCTAGCTCTTCTAGTGTGAGAGAGTAAATAGTAAATCCCCGTTTACTTTCTCTGTACCATGTAGTATTTTGTAAGCCCTTATCATGCCTGCCCATCAATCATTTATCTTCTAAACTGAATAGGTCTAGCCTCTTTAGTCAAGCCCCTCTATACCACTAATCATCCTTGTTGTCCTTCTTTGTATTTCTTTCAATTCAGGACATAATGTTATTTTCTGTTTTATTTACCATGACATGTTCCCCAGTCTTCCAACTCCCAGAGTACTCTGTGTCCCTAATTAGAATCTCTTTTTCCACCCTTGGGAAACAAATTACAGTCTTTAAAAGAAACCTTCAACAGGTATCTCTCTATGGAGGTAGCCATTTTCTAATGGTAAGGAGTCTACTAGGACAGGAATTATATCCTCCTGGTATCTTTCTGATTCACTCTGGATAAGGACAGCCCTGTGTATTTAAATGGTAGTATTGTCCTGTCCCATAGGAATTATGCATGGAAAGAGAAAAATCTCTCTCTTAGGTTTCAGTCCACTGCCTTAAACACTCTTTTTCCTCCTCCTCTTCCTCATACATTGTCCATTTTGGGTGCTGAGTGAAGTAGGGGCCCTGTAAGACAAAGAGCATTTTCTCCTGTACTTTCCCATAACACAATATAGGGAGACCAAGTTAAAATTACTCTGGTGGCACAAATCCTGCCACTTTTGAGTGCTTGACTTTTCCTTAACATTCTTTTAACATCATTATTTTAATAGAAATACAGCTTTTTTTTTTTAAGCTGAAGTAAAACCAGGTTTTATCCTGTGTAGTTGTATTGACCAGTCCAGTTCACAGCACTGGAACTTGAGTCCAGAACCTTTTTAGAACTTGCCTTCCTTCTGTGTTGTCATGTTAGTAGATGTGAACAGGACACACACGCTTAGCTGATAGCTTAAGCAACTCTTTGCTAGACAGTCCAAGAATACTGGCAGCCCACTTTCCCAAATCAATACATACCTGTGCTTTATAACCAATCACCTAAGCAAGCAAATAGATTTGATGCATTCATTTTTAAGGATGAATCAGATGACACTTGGTTCTTGTGTTAGAGCTGAGAGTTTTTTCTTCTGAGCTCTGCCATATGTAAACCTGTACAGCTTCTGTCTGGTAAATGGCAGGGAAAAATATTACTACGTTGGTTTCTACGATAAGAGGTATGAGAGATTTGCCCAATAATAAGCTCTGTGTGCCATAAAATTTTTAGCTCCAGTCCACCGAAGTGTGGCGGCTACAACTGATGATCTCCTGATTCCTAGCCCTTCCCTTGACTCCTTCCAGCATTTAGAATTGGACAAAGATTTGGTAGATTTTTCACAGGACAAGACAAGCACTTCTGTTACCATGTGCCAAACTTCCATGACTTCCAGGAGTCCTCAAAGAGGATAGCCAGGGTCTCTGAAATTCCTTCAACATGCTACGGTGTGTCCTGTCCAGCTCTGCCAACCTGAAAACACCTAGCTTCTCTAAATAATCCCTGGCCTATTCTCCACTACTGTATCTCCTTGTCTTCTTCCCTGGCTTTGCTCTCACTTGCACTTTGCACCTGGTAGCTGAATATTCATAAAGACTAAAGTAAAAAAAAGGCATTAAATACTTCATTTCTCTCCACACCTGTAACTAGGTTGACCTCTGCGTACATTAAGTGATCTACACTTTCTTTGGTCGTCCTCTTACTTTTGGCATACTTGTAGATTCCCCCCCACCTTTTTTTTTTTTGCCTTTTAGACCCCTTTCTTGTTGCATCTCAGATCATGTGTTGGCCTCCTTGATTGTCTTGCTGCATGCCTGTGTGATACCCTTATACTTATCCTTAGTAACATCAAGTTTCCTCTCTTTGTAAGATTCCTTTTTAAGTTTTAACTCATTGAAGAGATCACTATTTAGCCAGGCTGGTCTCCTGTTGCACTCCGTTTCATCACCTTAGGATAGCTTGCTCTTGCACCCTTAGTAAGGCCTTCTTAAAGTCCAGGAGAACTGGCTGTGTACTCTTCTTCCTCTCGGACTTACCTCCCAGGGGATCCTGCCCCCTCCCCCAGTTTGTTAAAATCTTCTTTTCTGAAGTCCAGTGTCTTTATTCAGCTGGCCTTCCTTCCTTCTCCCCGCTCCTGATTATGAAATCTAGCAGTTCATAGTCTGTCACCCAAGGTGTTTTCCACCTTCATATACTCAACAAATTCCTCTCTGTTTTTGAGCAGCAAGTTGAAGAGCTCAGCCCCCACCCCTCTTTTCCCAGTTGTGTGCTGATCTTGATGATGCATTTTCTCCTATCTGGGTCTTTACCCTGGACTGGAAGGTTCAGTGAGAGTATCCCCTGGGACCCTGCAGTTTTAATACAGTACAGGACTCAGAAGCATAATTAGGGCTGGGCATGAGGGGCACCAGCCCTGGGAGATGATTATGAGGGAGCACCAGAGAGTTTTCCTTGCAGCAAATGTAGTTCTGTACCTCACAGCAAATGTAGTGTCCAGTCATATATCTGGGGTGGGGAGAAGCAAATGGAGGCCAAGAGGCAGCTTCCTAGAAGCCCATGCCACAGAGTTGCTGTGGTGGACTCTTTTTCTCTGCCATGACTGCCCAGGCTCTCTGCATAGGGACGACAGCATCAGCTATGGTAGCAGTAGCCGTTGTTTCCTGTGCAGAGAGCCTGGGCAGGTAAGACTTCCCTTCCACTGTGGTCAGCTTGCCTCCACCACCAGCCGCCACCCCAGATGTTGAATGAGGTTGCTGTGCCTCTGCCAGGACTGCGCTGTTTTGTTCTATATTTACACAACTTAGCTTCAAGAGTTAGATCTCTGGGAAAGCACATCACCTACACCTTAGGGTTTTTTGATAGAGGTCATAGATTCTGTGTATTTACTGTTTAGCCTTATACTTATAATCTCTTCAACAAATTATTAAATTCAGAGTTTTAAACGTTTATTTATAAAAAGAAACTTTCATTTAAATAGTTCTTGAAATTAGATGTCAATTAAATATTTCATTTAAAAATAGGCTTTTATCAACCTGGAGACGAGATGCCATTAAACATTAAGTTTATAACTGAGAGTGTGATATGTTAAAATTACATAAGGTAAAACGAGGAGACATTAGGTACTTAGTTTTGTTCACAGACACTCCTGTGAACAGTCACCCTAATATCTCACCATCAGTTTGTAATTTATCTGAGATCGATGAACAGTCTTTGATGTATTGGTATGTCTCAGGATTTCATACTGGTAACCAATAGTGGAAGCATCTGAATGCTTTCTGTGTAAAATAGATTGCAACAACAGAATCCTTAGTGAACTTCAAGGAGTTTGCGGTACTTCACTTTTGGCCTTGGCAGGGATGGGGGAAGAGGAGGACACTTTATGGGTAGACTTAGTGTTTTGTTTTTTAAAATAATAAATAGTTTTTGATTTTCCTGGTGGATTATTTGGAGTATTAATGGGCTGCGATTAGATAAGTGTCAATCTTGTGATGGAAAGAAAAGTTTTGTACTTATTTTCTTGGACTTCATGATCTGTATTGGCCCAGAGTAATGTATAGAATCATTGAAAATCAAGGTTAGAAGGGATCTCACTAGGCCATCTAGTTCAACCCCCTGCTCTCAAAGCAGAACCATCCCCAACTAGATCATTTCGGCCAAAGCTTTGTCTAGCCAGGCCTTTTAAAAATCTCCAAGGATGGAGATTCTACAACCTCTCAGTAACCTGTTCCAGTGCTTTACTACCCTCCTAGTGAGAGTTTGTCCTAATATCTAACCTAAATTTCCTTTGCTGCAACTTGAGACCATTGCTCCTTGGTCTGTCATCTGCCACCACTGAGAACAGTCCAGCTCCATCCTCTTTTGAACCCCTCTTCAGGTAGTTGAAGGCTGCTATTAAATCCCCTCTCAGTTTTCTCTCCTCCAGACAAAATAAG